CTTTCTTTCTTTCTTTCTTTCTTTCTTTCTTTCTTTCTTTCTTTCTTTCTTTCTTTCTTTCTTTCTTTCTTTCTTTCAAAAGTTCTAGTAGAAAAGATGTCAACTGTCAAAACTCAGATTAAATATCACATTTGTTTAGTTTTGTTCTTGCCCAGCAGGAGCAGTTTTCGGTGTAGTATCGTCGCCTCTCCGAAAGGGGGCGGCAGACTCGGCGGCGGACAGCCCCGCCGCACCGACGAACGAAGAAGAAGAAGGAGGAGTTTCCGACAGAAGCCGATTATTTTAGCGCACACTAACCACTGTGTCTGCGTGGTGTATCCTAAAAAGAAACAAATCATGAAGAACGAAGGCATAGAGGGCACGGAGAGGTTCGAGAGCCCGGAGAAAGGCAGGGGCCTGCTGGCCGTCCGGCACTTCGCGGTCGGGGAGCTGGTGTTCGCCTGTCCTGCCTACTCCTACGTGCTGACGGTGAATGAGAGAGGAGCTCACTGTGAGCACTGCTTCACCAGGTAACCTGCTCCTCACCTGTCTGAAACAGCAGGAAAATAACCACAACAGCTGGTTTATTTAACAGAASCAACCACCTCTTTGTGTTGCTGAGTTGTACTGTTGTTGTGTAGTGTTGTGCTGGAGCTGACGGGTCAGGCAGGTGAGGTAATTCACCTGACAGCCCTGCAGCTCTTTCCTCTCAGGACATTCCAACATTAATGGACTCAACGTTAAAATGTACAACACCTGAGCTCTTAATTAGGCTAATGATGCTGCTACAGAAGACACCATGTGGGATGTTCTGAGTCAAAATATGGCCTAAATTAGAAAAACCTCAGGTGACTTAATATAATGTTTATTTAAAAAATCATCTTAAGCAGCCAGACAAGCATCAGTAAACATGTGGAGAGTTTAGAACCAACCTACATGTGTAGAAACACTAGAGTCAAAGACATTGCATTTGTTTTAAATTGAATCCTTTGAATCACCATTGACCTGTAACACATCATGTAATGCATTACATGATGTGTTACATCCTACATGTAATGCATCTTTGTTCATTTTAGCTCCTAACAAGCACACTTCCACAAACTCACATGTGTCCCACACAGGCTGCCATCCGGGCCACTAAAAGGTTAGGGTGCTAAATTTAGATGTGTCCCAAGAGAGGAGAAGGCAGGGGTGCAGCTYGTGTTTGAGACAGGGTGGTGGACAGGTTTTATTATTTTACATATAATAGTTATTTTTGCATACAGGTCAAATGAGCAAAATCCATCCTACCTGTTTTGTCTCTGTCTTTATCAGCATCACATCCACCTCTATGATGATTTTACCAATTATAAAGGATGTGATAAAGTGGTTTATTATTATTGCATTGACTGACAAAAGTATCTCTCACAGGTTGAGTTTTAATAAAGGAATGTGTTTTTTTTTCTTTTCTCACCTCGTTACAGGAAAGAAGACCTGTTCAAATGTGGTAAATGTAAGCAGGCTCACTACTGCAATGTGGACTGTCAGGTAAGGGTTTCTTTAAGTGTGTATGCCAGAAAAAGTCTCTGAATAAACTGAACTAACGTAAAAAATGTACGCAAATAGTCTAATAAATGATGGAGTTTTATTTTAACTTCTTTAGCTGGTGATGGATTTATGTTTTATTAAAAGATGAGTATTTTAAAGTCATTTCTGTGGTGAAGTGTATACAGACGTTCTCAGACGATTAGTTCTGTCCTCCATCTGACTCTGTCTAGTTTTAGTGTTGGAAATACAAAATAACTAACTAACTAACTTCCTGCACTGCAGTGAGACACAGACATAAAGAAAGCTCGTTCTGCGTTTTCTCATGTTTTCTCCTAAGAACCAATTTCTTGTTTACTAATGTTTTTTAATAACATGTATATGTTTTATTTGTGAAGAGGGGCGACTGGCCYATGCATAAGTTGGAGTGTGTAGCCATGTGTGCGTATGGGGAGAACTGGTGTCCATCAGAGACGGTCAGACTGGTGGCCAGAATCATCGTGAAGCAGGTAAGATAACAGAAAGCTCCTGAACATTGTTGAGATCCAGCTTTTTTACCCTGATAGAGTGAAAACGCAGATTTGGAGTGACGTGKTGTAAATTCATTTGAGACTCAAAGAACGGAGCTCTGAACAATGTTACATCTTTTTAAAAAAGATCCAAAAAAAAAAAAACAACAACTCTACACTTGTACAGCTTTCTGGTTTCTATTATACCTCCTTCACACTCGTACAAGAATGTTTTGAGCTGGGCGGACCCAGACGACACATTTTTCCTGTCCACAACATTATCTAGCAACGTCCTTCTCGAACATTGACTATTTATTCTTTTTAGCATATTACTTCACATGTTAACTATTTTTTAAAGGGGCAATATCATGTGAAGTCAACCTTTTTGAGTTTTATGTCATGTTATAATGTTATCCTCTCATCAAAAACATGTCCAGAGTCTTGCTTTGACTCATTCGTGCATGTTTGAGAAATCCTGWAGTGACCTGAGGCAGCCAGGCAGGGGAGCAAAAATGACCAGTTGGGCCTAGAACCACCTTTTGGGACCAGCTCCTCCTCTGGGCTGTGTCTCCAAGCTGAGCTTCTTCATCACAGATCACACATCCACCTGGCCCTGTGCTGAAATGGGCGGGACAGAAGCAGAAGGAGGTTCTTAAAGAGACAGAGGCCAATTTCAAGGTGTTTAGAAACAGATATGATGAGAAGTCAAGTTTCTATTTAAACATATAAACAACATTTTAATAACAACTGAAAGTGACATAGTTACTTTATTATGGTATAGTATTTAAATGTATGCCTGAGAAACACATAATATTGCCCCCTTTAATGAAGAAATCTTGTTTACTCTTATGTATTGTTTATATTTATGGTACCCTGAGGGACTACAGATGAAAACAAGCCTTTTGGCCTAATTTTGGGATATTCTGTAATGTTCACTGTCCCTTCTGAAGTAAATAAACAAACATTCTCAACACTTTTATTCTGTAAACCTCTTGTTCCATATTTGTCAGGCGAGCAGCTCTTTTCCCTCGACGAGCCGCTTCAGAACTAAAGATTCTTTTCATTTAATGATCCCTAATTTTATTGGAAGTGCAAGAATTCAAAAGATCAGAAAAGACAATTTTATAATTTATACTCATTGTAACAGACAGAAGTGTCTTTTTCCATTATTTATTTATTTAATTGTGTCTGTGTCTCATAAGTTTTTAACTGATCATCAGTGCTGGAAAAATAGGTAATTATTAAACTGCACATGAATAAAACACATAATGCAGTAGCGATATTAATGGTTTGTTTTAATAGTTCTTGTGTTCTTAAAATAATTTTTTGTCCTTTTTTAAATTCACTTTTAATGTTTCTGAATTTGTAGATCATATAATTGTTTTTATTGGTTCAAAAAATGAGTGCTACTCTTTTTAACATTTCTATTTATTTAAATAAACTCTGACTTGTGTCTGTGTGGTGTGTGTTGCAGAGAGTCACGACGGAGCGCACCCTGTCTGAGCGGCTGCTGCTGCTCAAAGAGTTTGAATCCCGTAAGTAGATTTGTGAAATGAATACGGGATCATTTAGTTACATATTCATGAACTTTTAGTTACAGAGTGTGCACTTCTGTGTGGGATCTTGCMGTGTCTCTGCAGTTTTTCGCAGCTCGTCTATTAATATTCTGCGCTGTAGCCTGCAGTCCTGATTCTGTCTCTTTCATTCAGTACTGGAGTGCAGAGCTCTGGGACTTAAATCCCAAGCTCCTGGGTGCTGTAATTTGATGTTCTCTCCTCTCCTTTAACAATTGTTGCCCTTGAGCAAGGTGCTCAGCACTTCAGAAGTGGGATATTATTCAGACTGAGGGGTGTTGACTTTATTTTAATTTACAAAAGGCAGATGCTAAACTCCGTTGAGCTTTAATTGGAGTAATAGATAAAAACTAACGGGACATTCAGGGTTAAAATGTGATCTTTGCAGTATCATGAAGCTGATAATCATAAATAATTAGTTTAATAAAACGCAGTCAGCATATTGTTCTCTCTGCTTGGATTAAATGTTTGCTCAGTGGTGTCTCCACAGGACTGATAAAGACTTAAACCCTCACACCTGTTTTTTTTTAAAAGCAAACGTGCAGCCAGCTGCTGCAGGTCTGTGTGAAGGATAAAGATGCTTAATATCTGATAAATCATGGAGCGCTCACCAACAGGAACAATAAGGAAAAACATGACGGGAATCTGAACGACTGACATCAACCCTGTGACCTGTTGAAGCTCTGCAGAAACTTTATTATTGCTGCCAGAAGCACCAGAGCCAGTTTTAGATTTTATTTATTTTAATTTAAATCCCAATGAAACCATTAATC